TCAAGTAGAAGCATTTTACCCTTTTAATATTAAAAGTGACACACATGCAAGAGTATGCAGTGTTGCTGTAGCCGTGTGGGTCCCAGGATATTAGAGACAAAGTGGGTGAGGTAATATCTTTTATTGGACCAACTTCTGTTGGTGAGAGAGACAAGCTTTTGAGCTACACAGAGCTCTGTTGAAGATACTACCTCCCCAACCTTGTCACTTATACATGCAAGAGTGAAATAGGAGAAAAATCTTGTGTGTACTAGGGGCAGAGCACAGTGGGGATGCTCTTTAACAAGTTTACTGTTATTTTTAGACTGTTCCCTATGTATTCTTTTATTCCACCAGCAGAGGTGTTCTCTGTCCAGCCAAAGACTTGGTGAAACACAAAACATATGTTTTATAAGTGGCCTTGATTTAGGACCAAACTCTAGCTGTGGAGGCCTTGGAGAATCCAAGAGGTTATGCACTTTTCCCAAGTGTGTCTAGGTGTGGGGTAGGAGGCTGCTTGGACTTCTCTTTCATACACTCGGATTATTTAACATCACTGCAGTCTTTGGTTGCAACTGACTGAATGAAAAGAAGGCCAGAGTTGCACCTCGGTCTATAATCTGTGCTCCTGCGGGCAAAAGACTGATGGAAGGAAATGGTTTGGGGTCTCAATGAGTATTGCAAGACTCCTTCCCGCTCCTTATCTTCCAAACAGCCCCTTACTTTCTTTGTTTGGTAGCTCTAGTGCTAAATTGTCATTCAGGTGCTGTCTTAGGCTATGTCTACACTATGCAGCTAAAAGGCCTGCAGTGTAGTCGCTGTTTGTCGGCAGGAGAGAGCTCTCCCGCCAACAAAAAAACGTCTACCCCCAACGAGCGGCGGTAGCGCTCCTGCCACTCCTGGATACTCCTGGATACACAGTGGACTAGGATTTGGTCTTGGGTTACTTAATTTACAAAGATTAAATGGACTCTGGGAAAACATGCCAAATTATTTTAAGAACGATGATATATTGGTATAATTAATGCTCAACCCTAAAATATTGCTGGTTTTATTGGGTGGCAGTGGCAGGGTCATGAGAAGTACTTCTCCGTGTGAATTGGACTTATCTGCTTGAAGCAATGAAGAAACATGGTACAGTGTAGTTCTTCTTTCCCTGAAACAGATTCTCATTGCTCTTCCTAATTTAAACAAACTCAAATATCTCTCGTGGCTTTTCTTTAACTAGATCTACAAAGGTGGGGTCAACATTTATCATGGGGGGGAGGGTGTTGCTGGGCCTTTGTAAGGAAACATGTACGAAGGACACTCAGACCAAGGACTTGAATATATTTATACAGGAAACCTTACTATGCTTTATCCCACATGACTTCCTGTTATTCCAACTCGCTTCTTGGGAAGAAAAAGAAGAGCAGGTGATGTGTGCAAGTGAGAGAGTGAACTAGGGTCTGTGTTTCTCTCTGGCTACAGTAGGGTTTTTTTTATAATTATTACAGTTTGGGTTCAAATGTGAAATTTATACATTTTAAGGTGCTGTTACTATTATAAAGATGTGGCCAAGAAAAGCATCGTAGAATGTTCAGGCTCTTTTTGTTTTACAGGAAGTATTTTTATGATTCCCACATTACTGCGGTATAAAAAGAACAATAGAAAACACTGGGCTTGCCTACACTTGAAACATTGCCGCAGCACTGCAGCTATGCTGCTGTAGCACTTCAGTGTAGACACTAACTATGCTGACGGGAGAGGTTCTCCCATCAAGATTCACCCCTCTGAGAAGGGTAGCTAGGTCGACAGAAGAATTCTTCCATCAACCTACTGCTGTTTACACCAGGGGTTAGGTTGGTTTAACTACGCTGCTCAGCGGTGTGGATTTTTCACACCTCTGAGTGAGGTAGCTGGGTCAACCTAACTTTTTTGTGTAGACGAGGCCACTGAAACTTCACTTTCTTACATGGCATTGAATCAAAGGGGGAAAAATTGCTCTCAACTCACACATCTGAGATCCATTGGCACCAGCTGGGAGTTTTGCTGTACAATCAAGTGTAAAATCTGGTTTTGCTATAAAAGAGTCAAGCTACACATCTGTTGTTTTAAGGTTAATATAAAAATGTTAGGCTCTAAGAGAGACTATTTTGTGCCAGCATTACATTACTGCTATTTATAATGGTAAATGGTAAATATTTCCAGCTCTGTTATAATTCTTCACTGATTAACATCCTTGCTTGGTTCTCCTTCTCTCTCTACTGTAATTCTGCTCTACCTTGCTCCCATTTTCCACTTAATAGTATAGAGGAAAGATGGTCCTGTGGTTAGATACTAATCTGGGAGACCACGTTCTATTTACTGCTCTGCTTCAGACTTTCTGTGACACCTTGGGCAAGTCACTTAGGGTAGAATTTTCAAAAGTGGCTCAGGGCCTAAATCCCATTTTCATAAGTGAGTTAAGCACAGAGTATATATCTACATGGCAAAAAATAAACCCAGGGCAGCAAGTCTCGAGCCCGGGTCTATTGCTACTTTTAGCACCATAGCACAAGCCCTGCAAGCCTGAGTCTGTAAACTCAAGCTCTGAGACTCACTGCCACGGTTTTTTTTTCTTTTGCAGTGTAGACATACCCTTAGGAGCCTAATGTCATTGAAAGTCAAAGGGACTTAAGCTGCCAAATGCTGAAGTTACTTTTAAAATTGGGACTAAAGCTCCTAAATCATCTAGATGCTTTTAAAAGCCTGGTTCATTCTAGTCATTTTACTTATGGTCTCTGTGTATCTCAGTACCCCACCTGAACAATGGGGATAACAGCACTTTCCTACCTCAAAAAAAGATTATAAGGCACTCACTACTACAGTAACCAGGGCCCTCTAAGTACCTAGAATATACAGTGTTCTGGTTAACCAGACTCCAGTTTTCACTGATGCTTATTATGAATCACCACTCTCTGCCCAAAATGTGCCTCTCCAGTGTAGTTAAGTGGGGTCTAGTTGGAGGCTAGTCCACATATCCAGCCCTCAAACTCACCATAATGGTTTTGCATTTTGTTTTACTCCCAACTGCTGTACTGATATATATATATATATATTTATATATATGTATAGGGTCTTTTTTTGTTTCCTTCGCTGTTGGAGCTTTGATTCAACATTTATTTAAAAGCTGTGGGACAGCTGGTCTAAACTGGGCTAGATCCTTTGAAATCAACGAAGCTTTGTCATTTTACACCAACTGAGGATCTCGCCTGATTCTCACAAACACGACTGTATTCAGGAGTAAGTACAGTACAGGCCTTGTGCCTTAAAAATAACACAGCTATTGAAGCCACAACCATACAAGGTATCAGTAATTTCATTTAGGAAGAAAGACTCAGGCTGTTTGACATATTCTCATGGGGAAAAGGAGGCAGATTCTGATCTTACCTGGAGAGGATTTACACCACTGTAACTCTGTGACTTCAGTGGAGTTATTTCTGATTTACAAAGGTGTTAGTGAGATCAGAATCAGACCCCTCGATTTGGGTTTGGCAATCTCCTCTCCTTCTCCCTCAGAAATGTCTATGGTAGCTTGCAAGAATAAGAGAGAGGGCCGTTCACATTGTAGGGGCAACCACAGTAGGAGAATTAATACAGCAGCAGCTAGCAACCGTGCAATGTCACAAATGCTAAACGTCTCAAGGGGTTTTATCACCCTACCATAAAACCCTTATACTGTTACTCCCTCCGGTTTAGCTGCACCATTTCTGTCTGTTGCTGTAATTCAGAGAGCCATTGTTCTAGTGCAGACCTGGCACGGGTGTGGGTGTGCATGTGCATGCCCATGTTATTGAAACTAATCATGAGACAAATGAGGTAATTCCAGGTAAGGTGTTTCATGACCAACTGGGCCCTGGGCTCAACAAGATCTCGGACCGTTTTCCCAATAAATGTGCCCTAGTAGCTCCTCTCGGCTGTAGGCTTGTGATGCGGCACAGCCCACGTTGGACAGAATTTTTAAAGACGTTAGTGAGAAAACTGGCATTGAGCAATGGAGCTTCCAGAGGAACCTCTTCCTCAGGAAATGAAGATGGCAATGGAGCCCTGGGAATTCAACTTCCTGACCTTCAGCTGGATTTATCTCAGTGACAGGAATTACTAACAGTTCAACTGAGTAACGTTCCATTGTATGGAAAACTGTTTTACAAAGTGTTTTTGTTTTGTACATGAGAAAACTTCCTGTATCCATGGGATTTAAAAGTGGATTTCATCACTGAGTATGTCTATGGTTGTAGGTAAGGCTGCTAGTGTACTGGTGGATTTGGTGGAGTATTTCAGATGCAACTTTTGTGTGGGACTGTGTATGTACACACAACAAACACACAAATCAGGCTGTTAATTCCTGAGGTTTTAATGTCTCATTTCCATTTGCATTAACGACTTCAAAGAGAATTGAGAGTGCTCAGCACCTTGCAGGATGACGTGAGGCCCCAGTTCAGCAAAGCATTTAAGCACGTGCTTAACTTTAAACATGTGTTTAAGTCCCAGTGAAGTCATGACAGAATCAGGGCCTAAGTACAGTAATTTGCCTCAAGTCACATAGCCAGTTAGTAGCAGCCAGGAACACTGTCTCTCAGTCTCCTGCTATAACCACTAGATACCACTCTGAACAAAAGGGGAAAACAACTCCTAAAATTGTTCCATCAGAACAAAAAATACTATGGGCCAGATCCTCAGAGAGTGTAAATTGGAGTAACTCCATTGGCTTCAATGAAGCTACGTTGCTTTACACCAGCTAAGGATCTGGCCCCAAATGCCTAAAACTAAACTTCTTTACTAATCTGAACTTTATTAATACAGAGGCCTTAAAATCTATGAATATGTTTGTGAACAAAAAACTGGCACAGCTTCTTCAGATGTATTCCTGATCACCATGGGTACATATTGCATTGCATAACACGCTCTTGCACATCCTTCCAAAGTCATATGATATTTGTTATTTTATTAAAAATTGACATAATACCTAGAATACCCAACTCTTTGTATTCAGAACTTACCTTGTCCCCAGAGTGTGACACATTGTTGTTCATGAGTCTGACATATGCCATTATAACAATACCCATCTACTCTGTAGCATGGATGTCCATCGTGTAAATATACATTAGCTGGGCAGTGAGGATTGGCTCCAGTGCAGAACTCCGGAAGATCACAGGAATTACTTGAGTCTCTGCAAGAAATCCCTGCTGGCTTCAACTGAAGGAAGAAAAAAGCTGCTGTAATTCCAATCAATAAAAGATATCCAGTGGTATAATTTATGCTACACATTAATGTTTTATTTCAGTAGCTCTGCACCAACTGACCATTAAGCACAGCATAAAGACAACTGAGCAATTTATATATATTTATTTGCCATATTGTGTAAAGGTTTTTGGCACATTTTCAAAGCAAGGGCACAATTCTGCTCTTAGATGAAAGTGTACGGATCATGTGGTACACCTCAGAGTAGAATTTAGCCTTTAATTAACTTGGCAGTGATTTGGTTTTTAAATGGACAGATAAAGAACTAGCATCAATTTTTCAAGGGGCCTCCTTAATTGCTCCTGCAGACATAAAAATATGTGGTGTTTTATAGCAAAGGGCAACTGTACGTGCGGATCAAAAGTGAGGTTGAAAATATTTTCAGTGGTTCACTGTCGATATTGGGTCTACATTACATGCTCAAGGTGATTGTAATGACATAACTATTGAGTCAGCAAACTAACCATATAATATTACATGTACTGGCCTTAATTAATACAACTAACTCAGGAACAGGTTATCCTCTCCCCCTTTGCTGAATACTGAACTGGGTGGCCTCTTTCTCATAAAAGATGCTTCTCTTTACATGTTTCAAGATCTCCCCACCCCCCAGAGAGTAGCCAGTCCAGATAGCTGCTCCTGTCCTTGCATTGCTTAACAGAATGACTTCATTCTCTTCAGAGCTGAAAGAAATTAATCAGTAACTGGGGACCTAGCCATTCTGAGTACTTACTTATCAACAAGATGACAATGGTAATGTACTGGAGTCGAGCTACATTTTTAATTGCATCAACAAGGTATTCTAGACAACAAACAGAATGGCTTCAAGACTGACTCTGATAAACTGTATGCGTTAGAAAAGCATCTAAGCAGGCTTAAAACAGTGCCTCCTAGCCTCAGTGAAACCCTGCCTAGATACCTTACTAACTCATACTCAAAAGCTGTTTTGAGGACTTAGGAATATTACTGTCTGTGGCAGCCCTGTCAGGCTGCTCATAACCGTAGCCACAAGGCTAAAGATTTGCTGTCACTTATGACTTGCCAACAAAAAAGTTTGTTTTAATAGAATCCATTAACATTCATCCTCCTTAAGAACCGCTCCAGATAGAGCATATGAAGCATGTCCAGCATACCTTGATTGCCTGCCATGGCATAGCATCCAGAAGTGTCTGCAAAAATCTGCATGCAGAAATTCATATAAATGCAGGGATTTTGCATGCACGAGTGGAAACAGCCACAAATACTGCAGGCACAATTAAGGTGGGCCTATTGATTTGGCCCTGTATCTTCAACTGCTGTTTCTGGTTGATATTTTTTTTTTAAACGGCTTACATGAAACACCACAAGTGTTTTAATGCTTAATTATACCGATTTGTTTGTTCTGCCTCCTTGTTTGCTAATCTGCAATTAAGATGATTATGGAATTCTGCCACTCCACAGCAATAAGAAACCGTTCTACAAATTCACCTTGCAGTCTTTACAGCAAAGTCCATGGGCACACACTGCTTCTGCTTTCAAAGTGCAGCTAGTAGCATTACAGCAACGATTTGTACATTCCTAGATGGGGAGTAAATTAACATTGGACAACATTAAATAAAAACTGGCTATAAATCAAGAGGCAACATGTTTCTAGAAAGCACACTTTAGCTCCAACAGAAGTTATGGGTTCGATGCAGGAAATACAATGAAATTATATGTAGGAGATCAAATTAGTTGATCTTTTGGCCTTGAAATCTGTGACCCTATAAGTAACTGGAGTAAATCAGCCAGGGCCATAGAGCTATGCCTATTTACTGAAGATCAGGCCCCAGATATTATTAACATGTACAATATATGCATGTAAGATTCACCAATGGTTGTAGCTCCACTGAAATCAATGGAGTTACACTAGTATGAAGCTAGAGGAATGTAGGGGTGAATCCTGGCCCAAATCCTCATTGCCAAATTCTGTCCTCAGCTATGTGTGGGCAGTGACACTGTTGTCAATGAGGCTGCACTGGATCACCGATAACAGATTCTGACCCTAAAGATATCTGACAGTCTCCAAGACATTATAAGAAAAAAAATGAATCTAGCCAATCCCAATGGTCAGTTATTCCTAGATAGAATAAGAAAAAAATGAACCTAACCCACCTTAATTTTTAGTTATTTCTAGGTATAATACTGAACAGATATTGCAATTGTTTAGAAAGTCACTAGAGGCCAAATCCTCAGTGGTGTAGATCAGCATAGTTTCACAGACTTCAGTGGAGTGATATTGATTTACCCCGTCTGAGAATCTGACACATGGGCTTTATGGTGTCATTAAACATGAGCATTACAGTTCTCCCTTTTAAGAAATTATCTCATCAGAATTCTGTATTGCAAGGTGGCTGTTATAAAGAATGAGATAATGATGTCATTCAATACCGCTGAGAATGCAAGTGCAATAGTTTTATATCAGAGCTATTCTGATAATAGGGCTTTGTAGAAAATATGAACTGCACTATCACTAACTGACACATTCTCAGTTCATGTTGGTGCATTGGACTGTGGCACTTCCCATGTATGTGGGTTTTTACAAACTTTATTGTCTTAGGCTGCTACAATAAAAACTTTAAGAAAATAGTGGATATGCTTCCGAGATTATAGTCATGAGCTGTAAACTAAATCACTTGCACTTGAATCACAGCTGTCTAAAATCTAAAATAGCAGCAGATAAAACTGCTGTTCAGCAGTGTTAAGTCAGCCTGCCATCTATCCATGCTACAGAATATTCAAAGATAGGATATAGGCTATGAATGAAATTCCAACCAAAATTCAAAATCACTCTTGCAAAATTCTAATCACTTACTCCCCTGTTACTCATCATGGTAAAGGGCGGGCAAATAGATTTTGTGCCTGGGCTGGTAAACTGTCATAACTGTGTTGGTTTTTTTAAATGTTGGCAAGAGAGTTTTGTGATGGAGGAGAGTCACAAGCCTGGGCTGCTACTTCAAAATATTTCTTGTTTACAGGAACAGAAAAGCGTAGGACTTGGGTTTCTTGGAGTAGGTTTCCTGGCCTATGACAGCATTTCAGCCAAACAAATTACAACTCCTGCATTCCACAAGAGATGTTAGTTAGTGATATACAGAACATCTTGTTATCACAAGGCACCAACATCTCTCATCATTTCTTCCATTGTCTCCAGGACATGGGGTTTACAGTGAACGTCTCTGCTGCCCGAGAGATGTTACAGTACTTTACACATTTTCTGTGGTTGGTTTCAAAATTGTTTAATTTTTAAAATAAAAGAAGGGAGCATGTGCTGCAGAATATGTCTGCAGCACATCCCTCAGCTCTCTCTGTCCATAAAGCTTTAATGTGGGCCACAGCGGGGAATGCTGAACTTAACTGGTGTTTTGCATTGACATCAGTCTTAATTGGGATTTCACCTCTTGTCTTCACACATACTTCTCGATGACTCAATAAATAAGGGTCTCAGAACTTGGTCCTAATGTTTTGGCTAACGGGTCCTGCAGAGCCATAAACTCAAGGTCCGTTGTGTGGTCATCACATAGTGCACAAACTTCTTAAACCTGGACATTAAATACAGCTCTACTCCTGGGTAAGGCTTTTATGAGCAGAGCAAAGAAAACTGTAATATGTGATTCTAACATGTTGGACAAACCACTTGTTCTACATAAATATGTTTGCATATTTAATCTTGAAAGTTGATAAAAACAACTATAATGTGCAGCATGCTACAGTCTCATATGCAGAGGTGCACTGTGACTGGTGCCATAAAGCATTAGCACTGGTGTACTGACACTGGTATAAACGACTTTGATAGTGAAACATTAACTAATGTAACAGATTTGCTGGTACCTCTCAGACTATAGTGGGAGACTGCAAGTTAAATCCATTGTACCTGAGTCACAGTTTTCTAAGATATTTAAGAAAACAGAGAGAGAAGAGGCAGATCAAAGTACTATTCAATGGTATTAAGTGGCTTCGACTTTAAAAAGGTGTCACTAACACTCAAGTAAAAATGAGAAAGATAACTGGATTCGAAAGATATTTGCAAGCTATTGACACTCTACTGGCATTAAACAAGAAGACAAGCCTACTTCTTCAACCCTGTTACCCCAAAGAATGAGTGAGCTGTCAAGAAATCCTTATGGTTTATATAAATTCAATATACTGTATGGAAAGGCTACAGCAGTCGTTTGCCATTTTAACTGCCCTGGGTCTATTTTGCCAGCAGTTCCATATTTATCAGAGGAGACAAATGCCTCATCTGCTGATGTGTTCAATTCAGTTAGTCTAGGAGAAGTTCAATATGACCAATGAATACTGAGGCTAAAAGAAGTATGGATGTCTGATCAGATATCATTTTAATCCTGGTATTCTGCATCATCTCTCCTGATTCGAGCAGTCCTTTGACACATTCACTAAATTAAACTGAATCAGCTTTGAAGTAGTAGTAACCTTTCTGGAAGTAGTGTAGGTTATTTCTATTAGTAAGGCAACTGAATCAGATGGTTGCAAAGAAAAAATTCAAATCAAAAGGGGAAATGTATTGTGCATGAAAATGGAAGCAGGTTTTCCTGGGAGCAATATTTTATTATATTATTTAGTTTATAAAAACAAGTAGCTCCAAATCCAAGGAAAGAAATCTCCAGATAATATATGGTACCTTGAGAAATCTGAGTAATTTTAACTAATTTGTGTTGGTTTCAGGTCATTAACTAGTACTGACATGGATTCCCAGGTTGCAAATCCCAATAGGAACATGATTAAAATTCACCGGCACTAATCTTAAGAGATACAGGTAGTTTGTAAAACCACACTAATATGACACTTAGGCCTACCTATTGCACTGCAATCAGACACAATGAAAAGTAAGCTGAGTCTAACAGCTATTTTGGGGAATTTAATTAAGGTTTGAGATTGAGAAATGCAGGAGGAGGAAGAAGAATTTTATTTAATACCAATCAGTCTCAAAAAAGTACTTTGACTAATTTGCAAGCACTCTTGCCCTCTTCTCCATAAAAGATTGGTAGCAAGGAGGAAAGCAGTAATTCTCAGCGAGAGAGAGAGAGACAGCCTTACGTCGGGTTCCCCACAGTCACACTCCTCTCCATCTTCCACATAGCCATTCCCACACTTCTGTCCACCAAATGATTCCTTAACTTCAGGCAGGTTAAAGAGACACATCCCCACTCCTTTTTCCAGGCTGTTTTCCAGGTCCTTTTTACTGCAGCTGCTGAACACCATGGGAAATGGATAGCTGGGAGAGAAAAAGATTGAAAAAGAGAAAGATTAGCATTTTCAGATGAAAAAATATTGTTCTGGTGACCTCCTCTGTGACCTCTATACACAAACAAGCACCAGGGTTTCCATTATTCACCATTCCACACAGGATTCAGCTGTAGAAATTCACTGTAGGTTGAACCTTTCCAAGAAACATTTTGAGACTAGACTCAATCATTTCCAAGAGAATTTCCATGCTTAACCACCTAACTTGTGGATGCAAACAAGACCTGTGCCTTCAAATCAGGAGCTGGATGTCTACATAGCTGATTATGCATGCAAAATTGTGAGGGCTAGTTTAGGCCATGATCATGCACCATCCACAAGTGCAGAACGTCTTGCATCGGCAGGGCCTTAGGAGCTAGTTTAAGGTCCTTTTGAAAATTTGGCCCAAAATTATAGATTTCACTCTCATTTTAAAGTTAAAACCCACCACATTTTATTAGAGAGAAGTTGTAGGCCCTTTTGCCTTCATCTCGGTGGACTCATGGTTTTCTTAGGGAAAACAAGTGGGAAAAATACCAACTTATTTTCGTTACAGCCCACTCCTGCAATCTCCAGGCAAGCAAAACTCGCCTTGAAGTCGAGGCCTAGGGACCATGGGTCTGAGGCAAATTCTGTTATCATTTTATACAAGGATGGACCCGAAGTAAATACTGAAGCCACCCATATTATGGATTTATACTGGTGTAACAGCAGAATTTGTCTCCCCAGATTACTGCTCATGGGCATGAATATTTTGACTTCCTTTCTAAGATGCTCAAAGGGTATTAGCACACAAATCTACAAACATGCTCTGCAATGCTCTGTGCTTTTATTTCAGAGGATTCAAGTCGGCACTCATTGATGTCAATGGATATTTACCGCTTGAGTCAAAGAGAACAGGCCAGGCCCCTGAGGCCCACTGACTTCAGTGGTACTTGGATCTGGTCACTGGTACATTACTGTGGAAACCATGCTATCATCCTGTAAAGAATGCCAAAGCTCCCTCTCTCCACTGGGACATGTGCATGATTACATTAGATCTGGTCAGAACCAGCTGGCAAATAACATGCAAGCTGCCTTATTTCCCTTAAGACTTTGGACCCTATTCGCTATCACTCTATACTCAGGCAATAATTCAACATCATGGCAGCACAGGGAGCCAGACTGATGATGGCTGGGCTTTGTTCCCTAAATGCTTTCTATCAATCACATATTATTAAGAACAGGGTATAATCTTAACAGGCAAATAAGATAATAAATGAAAGTCCTAAGCTGTTGAATTATAGAATTTAATGAATCAATTGTTCTTTCTACTAATGCAGAGTAGAAAGTGTTCTTCTCAGAGCCGGTGAGACCATGCCCAGAGACAGCAGAGAGAGGATCCTTTCTAGTTACAGAAAAAACCCCAGACTGAAACAGTTGTAAATGGAACAGAGGTTTAAGTTCCTATGTTGATTTAGAAAGGTTAATTAGGATCTTACAGTAAGGTGGAGAGTACTTTACACAAAGAATTAATTTGCTCCTCTTTAAAATTACCTTTTCACAGATTCTTCTGAAATAAAATAATCAGCTCTCTAGCACAGGATGCAGATGTGCTTCTGAAGAAGAAAATAATTTTCACTGAACACTTATGGGGCTTGACTTGCTAAACTAAACAATGCTGTGGTTCACTGACACATGACTTTAATAAGCTAACAGGCATCTTCACTTAAGAAATTGGTTTCTGGAAAATGTTAATGTTTAGTAGGATGACAGTGCCGAAGAGAAACTATCAACGTTCAGAGGAGCATGAGAGAGGAGTCAGGCTACTTTTCAGAAGCTTTGGGCTCTTAGGGAAAACAGGGAAGGGATCTGGGGATAATGGGGAAGGAAATGAAGGGAATTTGGGAAACCTTCCTACCTACCCTTGTATAGAACCAGGGGAGATTAGCATAACTGCGGACTCTTGATTGTATGCAGTTTAGTTGTAGCCGTGTGGGTCCCAGGATATTAGAGAAACAAGGTGGGTGAGGTAATATTTTTTATTAGACCAACTTCTGTTTGTGAGAGAGACAAGCTTTTGAGCCACACACAGCTCTCTCGATTGGTGATTCCTGACAGCTCTTGGTTTGGTGGGAAAAAGTTGCACAGAACATTCTGTGTATGTGAATGTGAACAGGTAGGCAGACATACATCATTTCCAAATACTGGCATCACGCATATGCATGATTCACAGATTCTGTATGGAACATGAAAGGATATTTAACTAGGCATGATTCTTGCCTCAAGCTGTGAATGTCTGAAGACTTGATCCTGCAGTTTTTTGGTAAGGGTTTATTTGAAACCCACCAACGTGAAGAAAGAGAGACATAAAGACATATATGCTCAGTCAAAATTTGATGTGGGAACACAGATAATACATTTTATTTCCTTCTCTCCTGTTTTTGCAAACACAGTTTCAACAGCTCAGTAAATTTGCTACAGAAACATGCTGGTCAAAACTCTGAATATTTAGGGTTATATCTTTCCCTCCATGAATACCCAGAATTGTTCACATGAATAGGAGGTGCATGTGTCCACCACTGGGAGAACAGAACCCTTATTCTGTACCAGTGACAAAATAATGTCATTGTTATTGAATGAGATTTCTTCCTCCCCTCCCCCCCACCAAAAGGAACTTCAAGCTGTTTCCTATTTTTAAGTAAGAGACCCATTCATCTTCTGGCTTTTCCTGCTCTTGACACTGATTTCCTCAGCTGACATCAGTAGAGCACGTGTTATTTACGAAAGAAAAGACTAACTTTTTGAAAATATTTGTTCTTCAACCAAGCAATCCAAAAATAAACAAACAACGAGACAAGCACAACAACTGGAAACAGAGCATTTGAAGAGGGAATTCACCCACGAAGGGGAGGATCCTCATACATTGAAGCCATTGGGAATTTTCTACAGAAGCAGGACTGGTCTGTGACATCACTGACATTCTGATGTAAAGACTTTTCCCCTTACTTTGACGATAACTCCCCACACGACAGTCATATCATTTGATATTTCTGCTTTTATGCTATGATGTTTTGGCTGTGTTATTTTTAAGCTATTTCAGCAGCACCATGAGCTACTTGGCGGGTGGGGGGGGGCAATAACTATCATATGTCAAGAGCATTAGGCATGTTATTAGTTTAAATAAATTTAGAGCTTGTGAAAGTTGGTGGGGTAGTCATCACCAGAGAATAGATACAGCAAGCTTCCTCACACTGCTCTGCCAAAATACTTCAAATCTGATCTAGAGTAACCACTTCTAGACATGAGAAGGTAGTTTGGTCTCCACCTTCCATGCAGTCCTTTATCTGTCTCCTGAAACTTTCAACACAGGTGTCAAATGGGGGTGGTGGCAGCTTGAGTGCTATCACAGGTCCTCACTTTGTAGGAATTCACTTCAGACCATCAGCTCATTTCAAAGAGGCCACTAAAGAATTTTCAGAAGGTAACAGCTTTCATCACTACCATCCTGTGACAGATTCAGGTTATCGACCTACAGCTAGTAAAATACTCCATATATCTCATTATCCATCACTGAAGCCACTATCATTATGTGTTTTTTATAGATCATATTTCACCTTTGTACACAGGCCCAGCACAAGGCCAATTTACGCACTACTTGAGTCCAACTTATTTTGAGATCCTAAGTGGGATGTAAATGGTGCACAGATTTTCTGCATAAGGGTAAATGTAACCCACCATGGATAATTTCAATTCAAACATGCCTGATGAAGATATATACCCATAGCACCAAAATCATCCCTGGTACACCACCACTGGCTTCAGTGGGCTTACCGCAGGGACAAGTTTGGCCCACAACATCTAGCTTTCTTGAATTACCAGCATTCCATAACAACATCGCCCATGTCCCTTTAATACTGAAACTAGGGTGCAGAGTCTCATGAAATTAATGCTCTAGTTTCCATCAGAAGCAAGATGCCATTGTTCACATCTACAAATGAGGCATTCATTTTAGCAAGATGATGTTATTAGTAATAAGTGACCCCATTAGTGACAGCGCCTGGTTTTGTTCCATTCAGAACGTTTTCCATTCATTATTATTTCAAATATTTAAGCCATGTAAATGCCAGCTCTTTTTCTATACATCTGCTTTTAAGTTTAGCCCTTGTTGACCTGTTCTTTTCATTAACTAAGTGACGTGGCATCATTGAGAGTGCCCTTTAAGAAACTTAGAATCCTCTGTTAATGCTACCACTGCAGCACAAGCCACTGTCCTGTATACTTTAGCAGTCAAGAGTCTTTTGCATGAATTCAGAAGTTAACTTATTCTCTCAATTTCAGGGGCGGACCCGCTAGAACAGGGCTGAGGAATATTGTAGTAGGCACTGTACACAAATATAGTAAGGGAGACAGTCCCTGCCCCACAGAGCTTACAGTCTGAATAGATAAAAAAGACAAAAGGTGAAAGAGAAACCAAAAGGTGAAGCGACTCATACTAGGTCACACAGCAGGTCAGTTGCTGAGCTGGGAGCAGAATCCAGACCGCCTCACTCCGAGTCGTGTCCAATCCGCCAGACCACACTGCCTCTCAGGTTATGAATCCCACAAGAGGCAGTGTGGCCTTGTGGACAGAGCACTGGACTGGGACTCGGGAGACCTCTGCTTTATTCTGAGCTCTTCCACCAGCCTGCTGGGTGATCTTGGGCAAGTCACTTCGGGGAATCAAGGTGCTTTTGAAAATCGCACTAGCTGCCTATCTGCATCTTTTGGCACATAAATACTTTGAAAACTCTGGTTCTTCTCCATCTGCTTCTGTTTCCCCATTGTAAAATGAGGATAATGATACCTCCTTTGTAAACTGTTTTTAAATCAATGGCTAAAAAGTGCCATATGAGGTACTATTATTAAAATATCTTGTAATTCATAAAAGCATGTTGCATAGGAGAAGAAACCCCTGGCTCATGATGTCCTGAAGATGATTATTCTTACTCTTTTTACACTGCCTATCAGCCT